AATAACATTGAAGAATAGAATAGAAAATTACAATAGAATAGAATAGAAAAATAAAATCAAACTAAATAAAATAAAACAAAATAGAACCAACCGCAGAACATTTTTAATGAATAACTTTTTCATTTATTTATTTATTTTTTTAGGGGTAAAAAGTGGATGGTTGTTGCCTCCAGCCCTGCCTCCCAGACCGTCCACCTCCCAGGTGCGTCTTTCACTTCTAATCTGCTCCGATGCCATTTCCCTGAACTCCAACTGAAATAAAGAACAAAAACTCTCACTTATCAGAACTTATTTTTTTTGGTTTGTCAGGTTCCTCATTTTCTCAACGTTTCAGACAAAGTTTCCCAGAACAAGGTGCAGCAGCCCAACTTTGCTGACTTCAGTCACTTCAGAGAAGAGGTGAGACTCAAACCTGATTCTCTGCCTTCATTAGTCTCATTTTACTCATCACGTATGGGAAACAGAACCGGCTTCTGTAAAAAGATAAATAAAGAAGTAAAAATCAGCTGACAGATTCCTGTTCACAGCATGTCAGCATTTCCATCTCAGATGTGTCATTTCAAGGCTCAGACTCTCTCAACGGTTATGGAAGCAACATAAATGAAAGTGTGTGGGGGCTGAAAGCAAATAAAAATATCAAGAGTGAATTTATGGTTGAAGTGAGAAGTAGTTCATCTGTAGAGTTTTCACTGTTTGGTTCAATTTCTTGGATATTTTTTAACAAATATATCAAATTTGTTTTAATTTTAAAGATTAAAACACAAAGTTCTTCCAAAAAAACTTTTTTTACTTATGTGTATAAAAATCCTTATAAAGTGCAGCTCGAAGGTTCTCTTTAAGTTTTGTTTTTGTCTCTAATAAATTAGTCTAATAAATTGACCTCAGTCTTATAAGATGAATATATGTTGCTTTATCTTGTCACTAAAACATTTTGTTCATCATTTACCATTTTATATTTGTTGAACCATTCACTTCCTGCTTCTGTTCACATGGTTTTTACAGTGCTGTACCTAAAAGGTTAGACTATTTCCTCTTCTGCAGAAGCTAATTTAGTAAAACAAACACTGCATTAGGAAGTATTTTCTCTTATTGAAAGACTGTCAAACAGACCACACAGCATCAACCAGCAGGACATGTGCTGCTTGTGATCACCTAATGAAACCTTGTCACTTTGGTGAGTTTTTATTTGTTGAGCTTTTTTATTTAGTCTTGTCTTGTGTCTGTTTTCATAGGGAAAGAGGTTTGAGGCTGTTTTTGTGGCATCAAAGCTCCTGGCTTTTATTTGACAAATCAGACGAAGCTTTTTTTTTTAAAGAGACACCTGCGTTATTTTATTTGTTTTATATACAGTTGTTTTCATACTCATTTGGGGCTTTTAATGATTTATTCGAACTATTCTATTTCCAGGATAGAGTTGTTATACAACTGACAACTTTACTGTTTTTTAAAAAACAAAACCTTCCTATAATAAACACGTACTGTCTAACATATCTAATATTTGTTTAAATGTCCCAGAGCAAGTTGAACTTTATTCAGTCACTTCATGTTTCCATCAATAAGCTTCTAGCAGAACTCTGGCTGATATTTGATCATTCTTCTTGGCAGGATTTGTAGGGTTCATTTAATTTGTTTGGTTAAAATATAGTCCACAAATATTTCTTAACCATCAACCTTGTTTTAAGGTCAAAGCTTTGGAAAGCATGTTGCAAAATCTTTATGTTCTCCTGCTTTAGACAATCAGAAACCAGTTCTGATGTGTGTTTGGACTCACTGTCCTGTTAGAACATGGAGGAATATGTCCATTACTAACTGTGTGTGCTTGCACTATGCACACACAGTTACTAACTATCAAGCGCTACCATGCTTGATAGTTAGTAAACTGTTCTGAGGTTTGGAAGCCTCATAACAGACATGGACACTGGTAGACTGGGACACCAATGGACTGGGACACTCATGGACTTAGACACTGGTGGACTGGGATACTAATGAACTTGGACACTGGTAGACTGGGACACTAACGGACTTGGACACTGGTGGACTGGGACACTAACTGCTCCTTTAATGACTCCACCACCCACAAACTAACCTCTCTCATAAATTATGTCACTAAAGTTAACCAGTGGCTGTCTGACAACTTGCTGCTCTTAAACCTTAGCAAGACAGAGACCTTGATCCTGGCCCCTAAAAATATAATCCCTAAGATAAAAGAACATCTCGGCTCTTTGAGTTCAACTGTCCAGCAGAATGTGTGCAACCTGGGAGTAAATCTTGACTCGGATCGATCTCTAGATAAACACATAAAGAATCTGGTTTCCGCTTGCTACTTTCAGCTCCATAATATCTCTAAACTTCAGCCCCTACTGTCCTCTTCAGACTTGGAAATGGTAATTCACGCCTTCATTTCTAACCGCACAGACCAGGGGTATCCAAACTTTTTTTTAGTGAGGGCCAATTACAGAAAAATAAAGGACCGGGGCACACACTAAAAGTGACATATTGGTACATCAATAATGTGTGTATTTCAAACTCACCTATGTGAAGAACATTGCACTCAGTGGGAACAGTGATGCTGTCCTTTGGATTGAAGGATGGCTGACCTGTTGGGAGAAAGAAAAAGAAAGAAAACAAATCCTTTAGCTCGGATTATGTTGACAGTTTTTACAACCGTGTTCATCACATCACCCAGCTGGACAGTCTTTGCATACAGTGCTTCTTGGTGGATTATACAATGCATCCTAACAGCCTCACCTCCGCTCTCTTTTACCTTGGCGCACACCAACGATGCCATTCCTTTGTGCTCGCCCGTCATGGCAGGAGCTCCATCCGTTGTTACGCCACAGAGCTTGTCCCATTTAAGCCCCATCTTTTCAACTGCCTCTGACACAGCTTCAATATATCTTTTCCTGTCGTTGTGCCTTTTAGGCTCATCATACAAGCAGCTCCTCCGTAAAGCAAAAATTATCATCTACTCCCTGCAAAAAAATTAACAGTTGCTCGGTGTCTTTGGCATCCGTGCTCTCATCGCATGCTATCGAGTAAAAGKCAAAACCACAAGCTTTGTCTCCCAGCTGAAGTTTCAAGTTACCCGACAATTCCTCAATTCTCCGCACCACCGTATTTCTGGATAAGCTCACATTGTTGAAATCAGGCACTTTTTCTGGGCACGTTATTTCTGTGACTTTGATGAGACACTGCTTTATGAAATCACCGTCTGAAAACGGTTTGCCGTGCTGGGCAATAAGTTTARCGACTTCATAACTTGCTGTTGTGGCATTTTCTTGTATTTTGTTAGCACAAAAAAACCTGCTGTTGAGCTTGCAGGCTATCTGCCATTTGCTTGACTTTCTGTGTTYGTTCGGCACCAGTGTACGAGATGTAGCTCTGATGTTTGGTCTCATAATGCCGACRGACATCATATTCTTTCATCACAGCTACATCGTCATTGCAAATCAAACATACAGTACACACTTTCCGTTGATTTCTTTGAAAAAATACTCATTTTCCCACCATGTTTGAAATCTCCTACACTCACTTTGACACTGGTGACTTTGACAGTGGTGAACTGGGACACCGGTAGACTGGGACACCAGTGGACTGGGACACTAATGGACTTGGACACTGGTGAACTGGGACACTGGTGGACTGGGACACTGGTGAACTGGGACACCGGTAGACTGGGACACTAATGAAATGGGACACTAATGGACTGGGACACTGGTAGACTGGGACAATAATGGACTGGGACACTGGTGAACTGGAACACTGGTAGACTGGTACACTGGTAGACTGGGACACCAGTGGACTGGGACCCTAATGGACTGGGACATTAATAGACTTTGATGCTGGTAGACTGATACACTGGTGGGCACGGACATTGGTAGACATGGAGACCATTTCAGTCGTTGTGTCCTTGGGCAAGACACTTCACTCACCTTGCCTACTGATGGTGGYCAGAGGGTCCTGTGGTGCCTGTGCATGGTAGCCCAACCTCTGTTAGTGTGCCCCAGGGCAGCTGTGGCTACARTGTAKTTTACCATCATCAGTGTATGAATGGATGAATGACTGAAGTGTAAAGCGCCTTGTGGTCTGAGTGGATTTGATAARGTGCTATKTAAGTTCAAGCCATTTGCCATTTTTTACCAAATCTATTAATAAACTGTGCTAAAAGTTCTTGAACATTCTGTTATTGATCATGATTGACTACAGCTCATCATTTCTTTTTGCCAGCACAAAAACATTTGACCAAAAGTCAAGCAAACTCAGTGAAATTTTAAATGGACTGAACTTRTATGGAGCTTWATCAAGCCCCATGGAGACCCCAAAGAGCTTTACACTACAAACATTCACACACTGATGATGGTGTGGACACCGGACCCTCTGACCACCATCAGTAGGCAAGGCGGGTGAAGTGTCTTGCCCAAGGACACAACGACTGAGGCGGCTGGAACGGGAGATCGAACCAGTGACCYACCGCTTCCAGAATGACTCCCCTAACCACTCCACCACACCTGCCCATTTTAATGAATGCATGTATTATTTTGAACCATTATTTACATTTTGAACCTGTGTTTATTTAGAGAAAATTAGACATTCAAACTTGTGCACCCAATTTATATAAAAAAAATAGTTAATGTTGTAAAACTATTGAGTCGAGGAAAAGAAAGATTTGTATAAATTATTAAAAGCCCTAAATGAACATGACGTTCATGCCCCTGAGGAGTGGATGAAACTTTTACAAGTTCATGCAGGGCAGTCAGAAAAGATCCTAACGTGTTCCATACATTTCTGAGTTTACAAGTCATAAATGTATGAAGTGAGGCAGATTTGCCCTCRGGTTATATGGTGAGCAGAACCTCATCTGTTTATATCCAGTCTCCTCTGGTTTCCATCGTCTTCCTGTGATGATGTAAACACTCTTTCATCTTATAGACAAAGTCTCCTCTCTTCTTTCTGAGTTTGCTTAATTTAATCCTGACTTTCTTTGGTTCCCGTAGAAAAATGTTTTACTGTAGCTCCATAGCTCTGATAGTGATCTCAATCACAAGCAGCTTTAGGAGATTAGCTCAGAGAAAGCTGAGCTCTGTGTATGTTTTTCACTTAGTAAGATCAACTGAAAGTGGAGCAGCTCAGATTCTCTAAAACACTCAGGGAACTTGGAGTCTCCTGAGAAAAAGCTTCAGTTTTTTGTTTACTTTTACATTTGTTCTTAACCAACCACCTTTTTTTGTTTRCCTTTCTGTTTGTACTTAATTTTATTTCATTTTTTTACTTTGCTTCTCTCTATAACTTATTTGTTCCACTTCACTTTATTTAACTTTCTATCACTAATTATTTTACTGATTCCTATTTATTTTATTCTTCATTCATTCACCATATATTCACGTTAGATACAGGTGACAGTGCAGTTAATCACCCATATTAGTGTTTAGTCATTATTCATCTCATCACAGTTTTCCTCCTACAGCATTAGAAGAACTCACAAAAGCTACATTAAAACGTGCACCTCGATTCAGAACAGTGTGTAACTGTAACTTTTCATTGCAATTCATCATATGGCATAAAAGAAATTAAAAAAGAAAAAAATCTCCACAAGCACAGTGACATTTTAACTACCGTAAGTTTGATGTTTTCATTAGGTTTTACTGTTCTCAGACCAGCTCTGTAGTTCTTCACAGTAAAAAACAAAAAGTTGAACCTGACTGAAATACGTAGTGTTTTGACATATTTTTCGTTTTTTACATAATCATGGTTAAGGTTTTTTTTTTTTCATATAATTTTTATTAGATTTAGGTTTGATAACATAAATACATACACTCAGAAAACACCTTCTAATGTAAAAAATTAAATAAGAAAACTCACAGAAGGTGGACAAACTGTAGTCTGAACTAAGGAGAAAATGATTATTATTGCTAAAGTTTATCCATCAAATTAATAACTAATTGCCGGATCTTATAAAATATTCTCTCTTGGTTAGGTAAGATAAACCTGATTTTCTCCAAGTGAAGCACAATTCCAAATTCTCTGAAACCAGAAGTTTACATACTATGTAAAAAGACACATATGCATTTATTCACTCTGTCTGACATGAAACCCGAATAAACTTTTCCTGTTTTAGGTCATTACCAACATTTTTTTCTATTTGCTAAATTCCAGAATAAAAAGAGATTTTTTTAAGGCAGTTTTTATTTCTGTACAGTCATCTAATCAATCATAGACATATTTGTCTTCTTCCACTCAGTGTCTCACAGCTTTAGGACTTGAGTACACACATCCAAACTCTCATTGACTTCCACTGTTTGAGCTCAGAGTTTTCTCTTACAAACTGGAAGTGAAGGCTTAAAACTACGGAGCCCACGAGGCAACATGGGGGATTTTTTTTTTCTTTTTGTGTTCCCACGCAAACGTATTGCGTTACCTCGCAAAAGTCGTTTAACATTGCTGTGCCTGCCAGTGTATTAACAAATCCACATGTTCACCATTAACGAGTTAGCCTACTGCTTTAATTCAGCTTCAGAATGAATATATCACACAGCCACGCAT